ACATGTGTATAAATATATATATATATATATATATTTATACACATGTATACATGCATACACACATACACACAACTTCAAAATAACATAAATTCTCAACCTGTACTGAAAACAGTTTCTGCGTCTCAGCGCCACCATCTGGTGAGAGGCCGTGACGTCAATTTGAACCCCGCCCACTGGAACCGGTACTGAAAGCATAATGGAAACACAACCTGTACCGTACCGAGTAGAGTAGAGCTGGGCTGTACCGGCCCGTACCGGTACTAATGGAAAAGGGGCAGTAATCTGTGTTAAATGAGCAGCACACCGATGTCCTCGGTCACTGAGGGACTGGAATAGTAAATGTTGGTAGTTTTTGAGTCGTGTGTTTTTCTGGACTGGAATAGAACAGGGAATGTAAGTAAACCTTAATGTTTTGGTGCAAGATTTTCAAGTGGATATAAGTTAAACTGTGTACAAAGAACAGAGGTAATTTTATTTTATTTCATTTATTTATGTATTTATTTGTAATTTATTTGCTTATCTGAGGCAGCTCAGAGTGATGAATCCTGGCAAGAGAAGGGAGCAATTTTTTTTATCCACCACCAGGCACAATGGTGGAGTCAGGGGGTGACCAATGGTGGTCTTGACCCCCATAGAATAACCTTCAGCCCCCCAATCATTTGAGGAAACTATACTTTTAAGCAACATAAAAATTAGAAAGTTTCCTCAAATGATCGGTTTGAGAGTTCTGCAGCTGTTCTGGATCTGTTGGAGTCACTCTTCCCGTTTGGGGATTGTACTGGGACTCCACTGGGACTACTGATGCTTTGACTCTCCACAACTTCTGTATTTCCTCTTTCAGCCTTTGGTATTTCTCCAGCTCCTCGTGCTCCTTCTTCCTGATTCCTTGCTCAAACGTTGGAACACTGGGTCCAAAGTTGTTACTGGGTCAAACTGGATGATGAGCATTAACGTATCAATGGTTCCCACATCCTTCCCAAATAGCCCCTCTCTATAGCAACATTCCAGCAGTGTTGATTCTCTGCCCTTGTCCATGCATGTCTTGTTCCAGTGGCCCATTTCTCATCAGAATGTCCTGGTTCCCCCACATCTGACGCAGACCTTATTAATCCGGGCGACGTCCGAGCCGTCATGGCCTCATTATTTTGTCTCTCCCCTGATATTCCCATTTTCAATTCCCCCTCTGTGACAGGGACAACGAGGATGAGTACTGTTGTATAAATCTATTTTGTTGCACGTACTTAGTTTAAATGATGTGATAACAATACATGCAATCACGTGGAAACCGCTCCGTACCTTAACAGAAGATGACTGACCGTCCTCGGACTGGTGCAGCGTCGACAGGGGTAGTTGGAGCTCTGCGGGGAATCAAACACACAAACTGATGTTAGCTTCATGGAGTGTTTGTGGTCCAAGGGTCAAGCGAGGCTCATCAATAATGGATGAGGCGTGTGAGAACACTCTGAAACCCGTTGAGAGTCATTTAACCAAAGCCCTTCTGCATATTTAGCTTCACGTGGGTTCACATCGGCCTGTTAGCTCCAGAAGATGGTGATTAGGTTTGTTTGAACGACGGCAGGAAATGGAGTGGAAGTCAGTGCAGTGGAGAGCTGGCATCATTAAAAAGGTCAACACACACTCACACGTTTTCACACTCAAGAATAAAAACAACATGCTTGGGGGTTCCCAGGGGAGGTGTTGTCAAGACCGTTGGTAGTCGCTATGGAAACGCCACAGCAATAAGATGGAGTGATCCCCGTCCATTTACTTGCGTCGTGGCCGCGAACGCGCACGCTCCTGCATCTGATGTCTGGGCTCATCCAGCAGGTCATGAAACCACATTGTGATTCCTAAACCAGTCTGCTGCTCCTGTGGGTTTCTGACACACATACACACACACACACATCCTCCCACTGTGCCTTCATCTGTTTGTCGTTTTGTAGCTACTTATCCTCTCTGTAGCTTGAAAGCACCTCTCTCAATATTGTCCAGCTTCTTTCAAAAGAGGCCCTTTTGATATAAAAGACTTTGCTAAAGCTTTTCAGCCTGTGCGCACACAAACTCAACATAACACACACACACAGGGAAGTCAAAACGCAGACAACGATTGTTATTTGGAGTCAGTGGGACAGTCAGGGTTCGATGGCACCATTTTCTGTTCCTACCGGGGGAAACAACCAACAGCTTCTGAGGTGAACTAGACGTTTTTCCCTTCATGAGTCACAAAGTCTGACAGAAAATTACAACTCGAGTCACATCTTCAAGTCATGACAAGTTGGGGAGGGAGCTGCCACATTTTTAAAGCCACACAATCCCCATCATCACCATCAACAAAAAAAAAGCAGCTGAATATACAGAACATGTGTTTTCACTCACACTAAGCATTCCTGTGACATCATCTCCACACAAACACACCTGTTGGGCTACAACGGACACCAAGATGTTTGTCAGCGCCTCAGTCACATCTGAATTCAGCCACAAGACAAAACTCCGGTAACGTGACCTTTTCAAGCGTGGAACAAACGAGCGTTCCTCAGAACTTCTCCACTCCGTGGATGTCTCTGGCTGCTGTCAACTCGTCCTGCAAACCTCCACTCGAGCGTTCAAACACAAGCAGCTGGGCTCTGGCACTGACCTTTGTGACCTCTGCAGAGGCAGCCTCCCATGGTCTCAGCACAGCCGGGCAGTTATCTGTTCACCATGGTGGTCTGAAGATGAGGCGGAGGAGGAAGGAGGTGAAGGGAAGAAGAGGAGGAAGCAGCAGAAGTATCACCCGGCGCAAGGGGAGAGTGAAAAATATTGAGGCTGCAAAGTGGAGCGGGGGGAGTGTGAACGCAAACAGGCTGATGCACAGGCTGACTTCTCTGGAGAAAAGAGGTGAGAGAGCGAGAAAGTGTGGAGAGGGGGTGAGGGAGAAAGGTAGAAAACTGGGGAGAACGCATGAAGCCTGTTTGCTGACGACTGTGAGTTCCCTCCCCTCTGTAGCTCCTGCTCTCCTCCCGCTGTGTTCTCCCTCTCCATCCCACTGAACGCTTTCCACCCTCACTGTGTGAAGGGAGCGCGTGTTAAAGGAGGCTGTGCCATGTTTTTATATTTAATCCCAACATTCTTTGAGTCTGCATCTTTCAAAGCGTCACTCAGGATTCACGTAGATAAATGAGGTAAGGGTCTTACTAGACTTCATCTTCACCTGTTTATTAACCCGTTAATGAAACATGGTGGCCGGAGCCCTGTGTGATCAGAGCAGGGAAGTCAAACTACGGTACTCCGTGAGGCTTTTCAGTCCTGCGGTCATCTCGTCACGCCGCCACGCTTTTCAAATCAAAGCAAGGTCAAGAAATAAAATAAAAGTCAAAATTATTATTTTCATCTATAACTCCAGAAAGGCTGGATGTGCCGTGTTTAATGCAAAAAAACAACGATAATTGAGATTTGTAAATGGCCGCTTGTCCTGAGCCTGGTTCTGCTAAAGGTTTCTTCCTCATGAGGGAGTTTTTTCTTTCCACTGTCGCCTTCATGCTTGCTCAAGATGAGAGTTCAGCGATGGAGTTAAACTCAAAGCGGTCTGCTCCTCAGATAAATAATGTTAAATTATTATTTTTAAATATGAATGTTTCTGTTTGGTGCCCTGAGACGACTTCTGTTGTGACTTGGCAATATATAAATAAACTGAACTGAACTGAATTATTCACAGTGGAACATCGTTATGTCAAATGTTGAAACTAAAAGTACCATTTTTAAATGATGACTGAGTTTTATGGCAGGAAAATATCTCTAAATAGGTGTTACAGGACCATGATTCTCACTGTGAAGACCCCCTTCTTTTAACAATAGTCTGTAAATGTTTAGGCACTGAGGAGACCTGCTGCTGGAGGTTTTGGAGGTCCAGTTCTGCTAAACAGTCCTGGGTCTCTCTGGCTGGCTGGGTGCATGTGTCGTTCTGACATCTGCACATACTGTTCTGCATCAATGGTGCCTTTGTAGATGTATAAGCCAGAGACACTAATGCACACCCATACCATCAGAGAGGCAGCTATTGAACTGTGGTGGATGGTCCCGCTCTTCTTTATGGAGGATGTGGTGTCCGTAGTTTCTAAAAGGAATGTCACATTTAAATTTTTCTGACAACAGTTTTCCACACTCAATTCACTTTGAAAGAGATTTGACCCAGATGTGACAGAGGTGCTTCTGAAT